CACACACACACACACACACACACACACACGCACACACACACACACACACAGACACACACACACACACACAGGGGATAGGAACAAAAGTGACCAACCTGAGTCGCCCATACCTCGACCCAACGGAGCATTGGACTCCGAGTACGGTGAGGGCACTGCCCTGCATGTGCCAACACCAAGCAGGTACCGGGCATAAGGTCCACCGTTTATTATACTACAGGCCCATATAGGCCCCCTTCTTCGCAATGGGCGCAACGATCCAGGCCGTCTGCGGTCCTACCAGCCCTGGGGTTCGGATCATCATGAGACCTTTAAGACTTTAAGATCGCGCGACTGAGCTGTCGGACGGCTTGGATCATTGCATGACGATCTGAACCGTCGGGCCGGTAGGACCACGCAAGTCCTAAGATCGAGTGACAATCCGAACTGTCCGGCCAGTAGAAATTCTCACATTATACATATATATATATATATATATATAGTTGAACAGATATATATATATTAGTTCAGCCTCGTGATAAGCCGGAGAAGCAGCAGTCTGTCACAGCCCCTCTGAAGAAGCAGTCTGTCACAACCCCTCCGAGGCAGCAGTCTGTCACAGCCCCTCCGAAGCAGCAGTCTGTCACAGACCCTCTGAAGAAGTAGTCTGTCACAGACCCTCTGAAGAAGCAGTCTGTCACAGACCCTCTGAAGAAGCAGTCTGTCACAGACCCTCTGAAGAAGCAGTCTGTCACAGCCCCTCTGAAGAAGCAGTCTGTCACAGCCCCTCTGAAGAAGCAGTCTGTCACAGCCCTTCTGAAGAAGCAGTCTGTCACAGCCCCTCCGGAGCAGCAGTCTGTCACAGCCAGTCCGGAGCAGCAGTCTGTCACAGCCAGTCCGGAGCAGCAGTCTGTCACAGACCCTCGTTTGACGGTGGGTCGCAGTGGGTGGAGTTGGAGCTGGAGCTGGGGGAAGACGTCAGGCGGCTGGAAGTTCCACAACCTCTCTCTCTCTCTCTCTCTCTCTCTCTCTCTCTCTCTCTCTCTCTCTCTCTCTCTCTCTCTCTCTCTCTCTCTCTCTCTCTCCCCTGATGGGTAAGGCTGGAATCTAACATACACCTAAAGTTGTACACGGTCATCTTCCCACAAACGTACCAAACCCTGATCAAGGACGCATACAGGCTCAATGTGGTTCAATACAGAAATGTCGAGGGCACTTCGTTTTTGTTCGGGGGAATACGATAGCACGCCCAACTCTTGTTTGCCCCTGACAACGAGCACCGCCATGGCGCAAGAGCACTCCCTAACCGATATAAAATGCACAAAGCCGTCGGAGTCGCATGCCAGTGCATCCACTTGCCACCAATTACTGGCCGCTGCATGCATGCTCATCTTTCCAAAGCCCAATCAGAAAACAGCAGCTACCCTGACGGCCAATACCCTCAACACAGTACGTCATTATACGTGCATTCAGCGACTTCCGTGCCAAATGCAGACATACAATATAATGATCAGCTGCTGCGTTCGGACAAAACACAGAAGATTGCTTCGGGCAATAGATATAATAACCGAGATGATTACTTAGCGGGACCAGGAGCCATTGCCAACCATGCACATTATCCACGGTCCAGAACCCGAATCCTAGAGAGCCCTTAACAGGCACGTACATAGTCTGTGGGCTAGCACTGCAGAAGAGGACATCATGTCCAGACCCTCGTGGCCGATCACGGCCTGTTCCCGTGCCAAGCAGCGAACAAGAGTGTTAGCGCCTCTGTGACCGCCCAGTGGATGAACAAGAGTAACGGCCAGAACACCGCCGCCAATGGGACCGCCAACACCGGTGGACCTTCCTGTTTTCTGGCTATCACATTAAGAGCTCCTGCTTGCACTCAACTCTGTGACTTTTGCGAACTGGCACAGCGAAATACTACAGCTTGCCGTCTTCAGCCCGCGCGCACGCTGCACGCTGCATGAGGTATTCCTCACAAGGGAGTTTTGCGGCTGCTTTCAGTGCCTATGCTACGATCATTGCTTCCCACCAGAACATAGCAATCTCTGCTCCTGCATTCCTCCGACCACAGGCAAGTCCCTCAGCGAAGCCGTTAACACCTGAAACGACAATTTCTACCTGTCTATCGAGACTAGCACGATACACACATTGACAGCAACAGTCGAATATGTCTGGGAAGGACCAGATGGATGATATTTCAGCTCAGCACAACGGAAACACAGCGCGTGCCTCGAAGGAACTATGGAGCTGACGACAGAGGAGAGAATATAAGCAGAAGCAATCGGAGGCGTCGAACACATTGCAAAGAAGAGAATGGCATGGAGATAACAGGTGGAAAAGGATCGTAGAGCGGGGTCAAGGTGCAGGGAGTAGAACACAGAATACACGTGACGAGATGAAGATCGTAGAGCGGGGTGACGAAGATCGTAGAGCAGGATCAAGGTGCAGGGAGCAGAACCACACATGACACACGGGGCGAGACAAAGGGCAGCAAGCACCGTGAGAAGGGACAGCACATGAGACGGAGACTAGAAGGCATGATGGTAGAATAACAAGAGACAAGTAGCACAGCAGGATGCACATCGTACAACACGAAGTCACCGAACAACAGAACACAAAGGACGAAACAACAGGGGGTCAAGGGAAGGAACATCAGGATTACGAGGTACGGGGCAACAAAAGGTAATGGAAGGGAACGACAGAAAACAAGGCATGGAAAAACAGGAAAGGGGCAACAGGAGCCACGGCGGACAAGACAACATGGTCCAGTACAATATAGAACAGTAGCAGAACACCAGCAAGGGGCTGGCAAGAAGGAGACCAACGGGCTGACGAGCGGCAGCAGGCATACATAAGATATAAAGAGCAGACGAGCAAAAGGTGAAGACGAAGAGGCAAGGGCAAACAAAGAGGAGCAGAGGAGACAAGAGGCAGACGGCAAGTACAAGAGCTCAAGGGTCCAAGCGTCAGAGAAGCGGCAGAAACAACTAGGAGAAGAATTTGAATACGCAGATCGAAGAAGTGGAAACAGCAAAAAAAGAGGATATACAGTAAGGACAAACAGAGAAGGGACAGAAGAGAAAGAAGAAGAGGAGACAAAACCAAAAAAAGGAGTGAACAAGGAACTCCAGGAGGACCCAAACCCCCAAGCCGAGCAGAGGAGAGACTGGGAAGATATGAGAGGACGAAGGAGGCAGGGTAAGTGGAAGACAGGGAGCTCGAACGGGGGAGCAAAGACGTGGGCCAAGCAGGGCTGCTGAGACGCCACACGGAACTACGGAGCGAAAAGCGCAAACAGGAGTCGAGTTTGGGGTGAGGGAGACGAGGAGGAATCGACCGCTCTGCCCGCTCTCTCCCAGGATGAATTTCCCGCCGGAACATCAAAATCTCTCTCCCAGGATGAATATTCCGCTGGAACACATCAAAACACATACCGCAAAAGGTAACAAAGATTCGACAACGCCTCACCCCCCGTACACCCCCCGCACAGAAGACACCCCTCACCCAAAAATGAAATGACGACGCCACGCCCACCATCACAATAGCCAACCGAGCTCACCTACCAATGGCCTTCCAACACCTCCGCCCCATTCCGACCACTCACACAACCGGGGCAAGGTCCCACTTGCACGGATTACGAGAATCTGGGCGTTGATCTTTGCTATCGACGGTCAATATCGCTTAATAATTCGTGTAAATGGGACCTAGCCCCCGGTCCGTCTCGTACCCGCGCCCGCACCCTTCCCACTTTTTGCAGAAGGCCAAAACGCCGCCGCCAAACCTTCATTGGACTGCACGACGTGATTACCGGAAATAGAAAGGCTCACAAAACGACAGAAAAACGCAACCACACGAAGGCGCAGCCTCCTGGCGCCGAACTGCCTCAGGAGAGGAGCACCTCTTTGCCTTCTTTCATCGACGGACAATGTTCTTGACTTGATCCGCTTGAGCAGGTCCAGCTTCTTTTCGCTTGCTTGCTGAGAATGAAACTCACTGTGCCTTTGCCTTCGCTACTGCGGCAGCAGCAGCCAGTCTCCCTGCGTTGCCCGCACGGCTGTAGTAGCCCTTCGATCTCTCGTACGCAAGGTCTGCCACACGATCTACATCAGTCTCGTACATCTCGTACAGCTTTGGCACCACAAATGACAGCAGCAGAAGCACGTAAAGAAGGGTGAAGAAGTCAAACCAAGCACCTATCTTGGCACCGATATACAGATACAGCATGGCTTTCAAGACCAGCTTCAGGTTGCCGCCCACAGCGAGACGATGAACGAACGCGAGAACATCGTTCGTCAAAGGACGGACATTTGTTGCTATTCTCTTCACCTCGTATTCCTTCAACAAGAGGAGAGGAAGAGTATCAGGCAGACGGTCCATGACATGTGTCGCATTCGTCAGGCTGACCATAAGCACGGTCGACATGAGTGAGACCAATGTCCAATTCGAGAAGAAGAAGAAGGCCCATACTAGAGTGTGGAAGAGTAAAACGGCCCCGCTGAGAAGGGCAGAGCGCCACAGCAAAAGATTGGCAAAGTTTCCCCCCCCAAGAATATCATGAACGCTGTTTTTTCCAAACAACAATCGAGTTAGTCTCGTCTTCGGCAGGCCTCGTGAAGCTGACGAGACCCCTGTGGACGACGACGATGCAGAGACTGGATGCTGTGGCTCTGGGCTCCTATTGCTTGGCATCGTCTCCGTTGATGTCGACGACACGTCATCCTCATCATTGACGTGTCCATTCATCATGGCAGGCTTTTTGTCAGAATAAAACTGTGAAACAGGTGGTGATGCCTTCGCACCTTCGATACAGGACACCTGGACTTGCTGCGTCTGGACTTGATCTCTTGGTCAGGTGCACAACGGCATCATGAGCCTCCTGCTGCTGTCAAAAAAGCTGCAGCTGGGGGGAGGTTGAGAAAAGACAGAGACAGAGATAGACCTGACGCAGTGAAGAACAAACACAATCACATGACACTGCACAGCTTTTGTCAGTTATAGTTGCCAGATGGTCCCAAATCAAACAGAAAACCAACCTATTAGAATAGAACATAACAAGACACCACCCATGCTGCAGCTGCTTCTTCTGCTCTCTCTCTCTCTCTCTCTCTCTCTCTCTCTCTCTCTCTCTCTCTCTCTCTCTCTCTCTCTCTCTCTCTCTCTCCCCCTGCACCCTGATCTAAGGTCTTTGTTTCCATTCGGGAGAAGATGGGCCTGCTAATATGGGTGCCATATTAAAGAGTGCCAGTATGGCCTCTTTTTTGGCTTTCAAACCACCACTGCAATCAAGCTCTCTCTCTCTCTCTCTCTCTCTCTCTCTCTCTCTCTCTCTCTCTCTCTCTCTCTCTCTCTCTGTGTGTGTGTCTCTGTCTCTCTCTCTCTCGCGGGGGAAAGTGCTTTTTCTTTTTTTGGCTGGCGGCGACATCCATTTTGGTCCAGCTGGATTCCGTTCTCATGCTTGTCTGGGCGATGCACTGGCGATTTTCAGTGGATGATCTGCATGTGGACACACAGGTACGCTAGGCACATTTCGATGTTTTCAATGTTTTCTTCTTTCAGTTCAAAAAAAAAAAAAAGGGTCTATTGCAAAGGCCATTGCATCGTCGATTTTGGGTTTGGCGGTTAGCATTTTTGGGTGGAGTCGTGGGTAGATGGAGGAATCCAGGTAAGTAGGACCCAACCTCTTCAACCCGAATGGAACGCCCGGTCATTATAGCTGTATTTGACGCAATTTCCCATCCATATACAGCGGTAACGACCTACCGTTCCATTCGGGTAAAGACACTAGCCCCAGGTAGCCCATTTGCTCTTAACAGACCTCTCAAAACGATGACAGAGACACCCCCCCCCAAAAAAAAAGGAGACGAGAGAGAGACCGGCGTTCTATTCGGGTGAGAGACGACAGACTTTCAGAAGAGAAAGCAACGGAGTACGGCCTCGGTCGACTACAGAACAATCTACATGCATTTGGACGCTTTCTGGACCCGGTACATTCAAACTTTTCGAGTCGTCCGAATGCACCTGGTCTCGAAAGCATCCAAATGCATGTAGAGTTGTGTAGTAGAGCAAGGCCGGCAATATGCACAACACCTTCACGGGCCCGAGGGGTGGGGACGACCCGTGATGCATCGCAGGAGAGAGAGGCAAGCAGGATGGCAAGGAAGACAAAAGGGGGGTGGGAGGGGAAGAAAGAGGTAAGATGGGAAAGAAAACAGAAAGGGGCGAGCGAGAGAGGAGGGGACGAGGACGAGAAAATGGCGGAGAGCGAAAAGGGGAGGGGGGGGAGAAAGTAGAATAACGAACTACAGTCTTCCCCCGAATACAACGTACGGTCATAATAGCTGAATTTGGTGTATCTTTCAGTCTAAATTCAGCTATAATGACCGTACGTTGTATTCGGGGGAAGACTGTAGGACGAAGACTGGATCCCGAGGGGGATGAAAGCGTAAAAGAGGAAGCAAGATGACGTAAGGAATGGGGATAGTGGAAGCGGGGGGAAGGAAAATGGAGAGAAACGAAGAGAGAGGAAGGGGGAGAGAGAGAGAGACAGATAAATGCAAGACGAAAACGTACGAGAGAGGCAAGTAGACGGGCAGACGTCGGGGGAGAGAGGTTGAGGTGGTTTACGATGCATCTAGTCGCGTTTGTGTAATAAGCAATGACCGATACCATCTTTCTCGCGGAGAGACAGAGCTTCTCTCTTCCCCGACACCTTGGCCTCTTCCTCCCTTCCCCGCCCTCCCCCATTCATCCAAAACGCCCCATGAACAGGCGTATGCAATGGTGTTTTTCTACCTCTCTCTCTCTCTCTCTCTCTCTCTCTCTCTCTCTCTCTCTCTCTCTCCTTTCTTCTGTTCGTATCCTTTCTGACTCTCCCCTCTGGCTTCCCTCTCTGTTTCATCTTCCTCCGTTCCTCCCTTCCTTTCTATCCCTTAGTGTCCTCCCTTTGCCGGCCGGCTATGTTTCCCCTGCCTTGCTTTGTTCCTCCTTAACCCTTCTCCCTCCCGCCTCCTCCACCCGCTTCCTCCTCCCCTCCTCCTCCCTGCTCCCTTGTCTGCTTCACGGCTTCTATCTCCTCCCTCCCTTTCCATGTCTTCGTCTCTCACCTCTTTCATCTCCTCGCTGCTGTTGTCTCATCCTTGGCTCCATCTCCTCACTGCCGCCATCACCTCCTTGCCGCTCTCTCTTCTCTGCCGTCGTCTCCTCCCTGCCGATCTTCCTACATCTTGCGTCATCTCCCTCGCTATTCTGTTGTCCGTTTTTCATAGTCTTCTATCTTATGGTACGTCCTCCATTACCTCACACAGAAACCTTTCTCCATTCCACTCCGCCCCGTTGAAAACAAGAGGCCTTGGTCAATCAAAAAAAAAAAAAAAAAAAAAAAAAAAAAAAAGCACGCACGAAAGTCCAGCGGAATGCCATTGCTCGACTTCTTTACCGTCTTTCCCCGACCACAACGCACCCTCGTCATGACTGTACCTAACCTAGAATATAGCTTGTATTCATTCATGGTTTGGGTGGTGGTTATATTCGGAGGGAGAATCGTGGGAGAAGGATGATAAACCGTGAACAGTTGAGAAGGAAGCTTCACTTCTCCCCCTTCCTCTCTCTTCGTTTCTCTCTCCATTTTCTTTCCCCCCTTCCTCTCTCTTTGATGCATCTAGACTGAAAATCGCCTCAAATACAGCTGTAATGACCGGGCGTTCTATTCGGCGGAGAACGGCAGGGGGCGAAAGGGGCTAACAAGCTTAAGAAGAGCTGCAAAAAAAAAAAAAAAAAAAAGGAAATGACCACAGCGTAAGGGGCGAACAAAGGGCAACAACACCAGCGAAAAAGGAGGAGGAGAAGGAGAAGAGGAAGAGGAAGACTGGAGAATGAGGACGAAGTGAGGTGAAGACTACCTTCTTCACCCGAATACAACGTACGGTCATTATAGCTGTATTTGGCGTATCTTTCCGTCTAAATACATCAATAATGACCGTACGTTGTGTTCGGGTGAAGTAGGTACGAGCAGGAAAACAAAGCACAGAGGAGAGTGTATGGGTGACCTCATAGAAGGACCAGTTATTAGTATTTAGATGCATCTAGACTGAAAATTGCCTCAAATACAGCTGTAATAACCGGGCGTTCTATTCGGCGGACAACGGCAGGGGACGAAATGAGAGAGGAGAGGAGAAGGAAAGAGCTAATTGCACGTAAAGAGGAGAGGAACGAAACCGAGCACAGGAAGAAAGAAGGAACGAAGGAAAAGAAAGAGAAGAAGGGGAGCGAGGATGGAGAAAGGGTGAACATGTAGCGAGAGAAAGGATGGCGATGAAGTCCACCACGCAGATATGGACGAGACCGACAGTGAAGAGGAAGAAGAAGAAAATGATGAAGAGGAAGACATGCGGGGGGAAGAGGAGGAGGAGGAGGAGAGGGAAGACGCGGAGGACCGTGAGGATAAGGTGGAGTGAAGAGAGACGACAAGAGAGGCAGGGCAACTGCACAAATGTAAATGTCTAACAACAATGCCAGGACACGAAGAAGAAGAAGAAGAAGAAGAAGAAGAAGATGCGCAAGGAGGGGAGAAGGAGGAGGGGGAGGAGGAGAGGCCAAGGTACAGTAGGAGAAGAAAGACGACAACAGAGGGAAGGGCAAGAGGAGCAGAACTCTAGATGTCGAAGAACGATGCAAGCACACGAAAGACGCCCAACAAGGCTGAGCTGGAGAAGAAGGCAAGAGGATCAGAGATGACGTACCTGGATTACTGATGGCTAATAAGCCAACCGAAATGGAACGGAACGGAACGGCACGGCACGGCAGCGAACGGAATTCCAGAAGAGGAGATCGAAGCAATGGTTCGCTTCCGTCGTGACAATCAATAGAGAAAGCAAGCACAGCTACGCATACGATTTCCTCCACGTCCAGCACAACCGTCCTCTCAGACCCAGAAGACAATGGAAGGAGACGAGGAGCGCAAACAGCGCGCGATTACCTGTAGCACAGGCTAGAGGATCCCCGCCCCCGACCGTTTCCACTCCAGACTGCAGACGTGCAGTTCACTTCACTTCGCTTGAAATTCGAGTTCGTGATGCGCTCGAGTTCAAATCGGATAACTAAAAATAACATACTTGAGTCCCGTTTCGTTCCACTCAACTCTAGTCCGCCCTTGAAAAAAAAAAGAGCGGGAATAAGAAAAGAAAAGAAAAAAAAAAGAAAAAAAAAGAGCGGGAATGGTGCTGCAACAGTTCCCGCGAGGTTCAACCAAGACAACCGCAATAGAAAAAGGAGAATAATCGGGGAAAAAAGGACGGTGGGGGGTTGGGGTTCTTCACACAGCTTGCGCCGCTCGAGTTTCCTGGGAGACGTGACAATAAAAACGGGTATGTTTGCCTAGGCCGCACTTGAGGTGCATTTCATTCAAGTTTTTGACGCGCGTCGGGAGGGGCTGGAGTGTGTACGGCTCATGGCGCGGGACCGCACCTAAGGGTCTCGGCCCACATGCAGTCGTGTAGAGTAGGTCCGGGGCCCGCGGGCGATCTTTGCGAACCGCACATACGGAGTCCATCTCGCTGTCTGTGAGAGCTCCCAAGTGAATGTCATGGCTTAGGGTAGGACCCCACAGGACCGCGGAATGGAAAAACTTCGCCGCGGAAGTGTTTGCGAGACCCCACACACCGCGGAAACTGTTCTGGAAAGGCCGAAATGTCTTCCAAAAACCGTTTCTGGGACCCCACAGCCGGCATTTCGTGGCCTGGAAGATGTGGCGTGGACGTTTTCACATGGTCTGCGGTCTGGAAAACGGCGAGTGGAGGAAATAACGCCGCAAATTTGTGCTGAAAGCTGAGGTTCTTCCCCAGAGCCGTCTTGAACTTTTCCAAAACCAGGTGCCATGGACGGGAGGCAGCAGCCAATAGCGATGAAGAGTGCCACAAAAAAAAAAAAAAAAAAAAACACGGAAAAAAGAACAAAACAAACGAGTGCAAAAGGAAACAGGCAACGATTGGCTCAACTGATTTCCAAAGCGTTTTCCAAGCGCATTTGGTCCTCTGCAATGGGGTCCCGGAAAAAGTACTTTCCGACTTTCCAAAAATGACTTGCCCGCTTTTCGTGGCCGAACGGCTTTTCCATCCGGGCCACTGCGGTTGGAAAGAGGTCGTGGAAAAGCTGACGGGGCGTTTCTACTCGGCTCGCAGCCTGGAAATTTGTGGCAACGAGTTTCCAAACAGTTCCAAGGACGGCTCCAGACGAGTAGGGGGGGGGGCATGGAAAAGAGTTTCCAGAAAACGGCCAGACGGCGCGAACCACGGACTGTCGCCGTGGACCGTTTTCTGGACCAGTACGCTCGCGCGGACATGCTCTTCATTTTCTCGCGTCGCACGGTTCCCAGCGGGGCCCGGGGGGGGGTTGTGCCCTCCATGCTACCCTCGGTTTGTGAACGGCATGACGCAGCATTTCAAATTCGGATTTTGTGGCGGGCTCAGGACGTAGGCCAGCCATGCAGTCGCTTCATGTCGTGTGAGTTCAGTGGCAGAAGCATCGGCAGTGACACCCTTATGTCGCCGTCGTCGACACGTCCATTAAACCCTTCGTCGTTTCTCACCGGCGTTATGCCATCGCTCATCTCCTTCGCGCGTGCAGGTTCCCTGGCCTGCCTACGGGGAAGCCATCTCGGGTGGCGTCGGCAGGCGTTGTCCGATCAAGGCTTGCATTTCGAAGTTGTTGGCGTTGTGGCGAGCAATGTCTGTAGAACACACAGTCCGGCCCCGGCGCTCTCACTACCTGCCCGCTCGCACACGTGTTGTCCAATGCTGACCTCCCGTGTGGTCGCCATTGCACATGTCGTGCTCCGTCGTGTGCCTCCCTTGCCATTCTCCCTTCTTCGTCTGCCTCGGCAGGGCGGTCGTTTGTCCTCGCCGGAGAGCAACCCCGGCACATGTGGGCAGGGATGGGCTGCACATGACGATGTGGTCATAAGTCCTCATCCACACACTCGCCACGTGTCGGTTGTCAAACGCTATAGTCGGCCGTGTGGATGTGACCACTGCCATCGTCGTTGTTGTGTGGATGTTATTATAAACAACCACTGCGGCGGAGGCGGGCGACGAAAAAAACCATCTTTGGTTGTCATCGCAGGCCTGTTTGCCGTCGCTATCCTCCTTTCCACAACTTTCGTGTTATCCGTCGTTTTCTGGTGCGCGATCGTGTACTTGTGCTGTCGTCGGTGGAGATAAGCAGCGAAGCGTTGTTGTTCGAGGGCGCATTGCGTGTTTGCAGGTGTTGCCTCCGTATATATACCTTCCTCGGCCAAATGGAGTCATACCGGTCGACGACAGATCCCCGTGCAGGCAATGGTGGCGGATTCCAGACCCAGGACATGCGACAGCAAGGATCTGTCCACTACTCCTCGCCCTCGCCGGCGAGTATGCAATCCTTCAGCAGGCAGATGCAGGAGGTTGTGCGTGTGGGGCCGAATCAAGTGCCTCCTCCTCGTGTGCCCTCTCCATCTGTCCATCATGCGGAAGCCGCACGTCGGTGGTTCGTTTTTCGACCCACTGCAGAAAGTCTGCACGCAGGCCCCGTGCATACGGGCCAGACGTCGTTTTGCACACAGGCTGGAGGCGGGTATGGCATGCCTTCTCCGCACATGTTCCTGGGAGGCGGTGGATATGGCATTGCTCCGCACGTGTACCCCACCCAACACACTATGGAAAGGGGCGGAGTGATGAGGGACGAGTGGCAGTGGTCCCCACAGTGCCGACAACCGTCGCAGCCCATGCATGGCGGGTTGTCCGCTCCATCGCCCATGTCGGTGACGCGGTCTGTTGTCGAGCCCTCGCCTTTGATGGCAGATGCGCAAGGAGAGGATATGGATTAGGGGTGGCCTATCCACAGTGCAACTTCATCGCCTGCCGGCTTGCAAGGTCCTTCCTTTGGTGGCGAGGAAGATGACTTGGTTAGCGACGGTGAAGTTGAAGGTGATGGCGGTGACATTGACGGGCAAAACTCTGACAACGCGCAGGAGCATAGGGACAGTGCTACTGCTGGCCAGAGAGATGGGGGCGAGAATGTGGTTGGGCCCCAAAGCAGCAAGCGTGCAAACAAGCGGGGGGGCAAAGATGGTGTTGCGAAAAACAAGAAGCATCCCCTGGACCTTGGATGAGAGGATCGCGCTGTCCATAATGATGGCTGAGGATGACGCCCTTATGGCCGACGCCGATGGGCAACATCGGTTCAAGAGGAGTAAGGACCGGTATGAGTGGGTGCACGATCGGATGGCGGAGCAGGGGTTTCTGCACAGGTCGGCGGAGGATTGTCGCAAGAAGTGGCAGGGCATGCTGGCGGCAGCGAAGTTGATTCTCGACAAGTGTGAGAATGCTTCGGGGAAACCTTCGTACTGGAACATGACCCTTGAGAAGCGGAAGGCGGAGCAGGTGCCACTAGGCTTTGAGAAAGCTCTGTGGGAAACGATGGAGTGGAAACTCAATCGGTCATCCATCAAGTGCGACAAGACGCTGGCGTCCGAGAACCTGCCAGGTAACGAGGGGGGGAATTCAACGAGCGGCGGTCCAGCAAAGCCGTCGTCGGGGAGGAGTGCTTCCGACGGCAGAGCAACGGAGGATTCAGACCAAGCAGCGAAAACCCGGAGGACGAACACCGACAAAACTAGAATGGACGACACGACGAGCGGTGGGACATCATTGGGTAGGGCGATGGAGGACGCTATACGGTCGTACGACGAGGGTTTGGATAAGGCCGCTGCTACTCTGGCGAAGGCAACTTCGGAGGCAGGCTCGGCGATTGCGGCGAAGATCGGTGACGTGGCAGATGCCATGCGTGGCAGAAACACTGTCCTCGAGATGCTCGTGGGGGTTCTCGCGAGGCGTGGAGGTGGGGGGAACAATGCTGCATACGAGACGGCGGACACAGACCCCTCGACGCGCTAGACATTTGTTCATATGGATATCAATATATATATATATATATATATATATATATATATATATATATATATATATATATACAGGGTTACCGGCGTTCGGGACAGGCCGAACGCCCGAACGTACGGGACCCCTTCGGAAGGCGTTCAGCCGTTCGGGCTGAACGCGGACCAAAAAAACAAAAAAAAACGTTTTTCAAAAAATTCCGAAACAAAACTATGTTATGGAGAAAACTAAAATAAACAACATTTTCCTGGGCACTACATCCCAATTCTTTACCAAATTTGAATTAAAAATCAAATACAGAAAATAAACATTATGATAAAAATAAGAAAAAATAAAAAGAGAATTAAAATGAGTGAGTGTGCCAGCACATTTTCGACACTGCCATTTTTGCCGATTTTTAATTATTTTTTGGCATTGACAAATGCCCTGAAAATTTACAGATACGTAGTTTACATAATCAATAACTCATTAAAAAGTTTTCAAAAAAATAATAAAATTGTTTAGGCCCCGAAATAAAGTGAAAACAAAAAGTTAAAAGTGAAAAAAAACAAAATAGTGAGTGGGCGAGCATGTTTTGACACCCCCGTCTTTTACGATTTTTAATGTTTTTTTGGCTTAGCAGAATGGCTTCAAAATTTATAGGCGTGTAGGTTACATCATAGAGAACTCATTAAAAAAAACATCAGAAAAAAAACATATTTTAAAGCCCCGAAAAAAAAATTGGCGGGGGCCGAACGTGGAGGTGTTTGGCCCCCGAACGGGACCCCGAACGCCCGAACGTTCGAGGGCCAGCCCGGGGGCCCCCGAACGTTCGGTCAGGTAACCCTGTATATATATATATATATCGTCTATACACAGCCCCTCGTTTGTTGTCCTCTTCTCCCTCTCTGCCTACGGTTTACCGGGCAGTTCTATTTGACGATATATATATCGTCACAAACAGAACTGCCCGATAAACCGTACGCAGAGAGAGAGAAGAGGACATATATATGTACAGGGTTACTGGTGTTCGGGACGGGCCGAACGCCCGAACGTACGGGACCCCTTCAGAAGGCGTTCGGCCGCTCGGGCCGAACGCAGACCAAAAAAAAAAACAAAAAAAAACAAAAAAAACGTTTTCAAAAAATTCCGAAAACAAACTATGTTAGGGAGAAAAATAAATTAAAGAACATTTTCCTGGGCACTACATCCAAATTCTTTTCCAAATTTGAATTAAAAATTAAATACAGAAAATAAACAATATGATAAAAATAAGAAAAAATAAAAAGAGAATTAAAATGAGTAAGTGTGCCAGCACCTTTTCGACACCGCCATCTTTGCCGATTTTTAATTATTCTTTGGAATTGACAAATGCACTGAAAATTTACAGATATGTAGTTTACATAATAAATTACTCATTAAACAATTTTCAAAAAATAATAAAATTGTTTAGGCCCCGACATAAAGTGAAAACAAAAAGTAAAAAGTGAAACAAAAACAAAATAGTGAGTGGGCGAGCACGTTATGATACCCCCATCTTTGACGATTTTTAATGTTTTTTTGGATTAGCAGAATGACTTCTAAATTTACAGGCGTGTAGGTTACATCATAGAGAACTCACAAAAAACAATTCAGAAAAAAAACTTATTTTAAGGCCCCGAAATTGTTTTTAGCGGGGGCTGAACCTGGAGGTGTTCGGCCCCCGAACGGGACCCCAAACGCCCGAACGTTCAGGGGCCAGCCCGGGGGCCCCCGAACGTTCGGTCAGGTAACCCTGTATGTATATATATATATATCGTCACAAACAGAACTGCCCGGTAAATCGTAGGCAGAGAGAGAAGAGGATAACAAACGAGGGGCTGTGACAAACTGTTTCGTCGGAGTTTCACCGACTCATCAGGTATATATATATATATACAGGGTTGCCGGCGTTTGGGACGGGACGAACGCCCGAACCCGAGCGCCCGAACGTATGGGACCCCTTCGGGCCGA